CCACCCAACAAAAACTCCTGTACTTTTGCTCTTGAAAATAAAAGAGCAGGACAGAAGTGTGCTGACTAATTTACTTTCATGGTTTTTTTCAAATGTATTCTGGATTAAGTTATAAAGTGAAAATATATCAGAGGAATCCTTCTGCTACACTACACTTGCAGAATGCCCACCAATACTGTCCAAAGCAATAGTACTCCTAAGGCTGTAAAGGGAAACAAGGGCGGAGATGAGGGCAGAGCAGTACAGGAAGGATGGAAGAACGTGCTAAGAGTGTCAACAGACTTTTGTCCCAGTCACTGTTCAGCCCTGGGCCATAACTTCCTTCATTCACAAAGAGAAACCAGAGGGAAATGCCTCTGGCTAGCTGAGACCAGAGTATCACACCAAACGGTCAGAAGCTTCTTGTTTTCTGGGGTTTTTTTAATTCGTTTTAAGAAGCAGCTAGTGGTTCCACTTAAAATAAGGCTAGAGGGACTACATGTGAATGCTAGATTTTTAAGTTATACTCGCTGCTATGTGGGTTATACTCGTACAGCTGCATTGGAGACTCAATGCCAATAAATTACCTTGAAGGTAGAAACAAAGAACAAACAATCAAAACTGTGCATGTATGTTAAATTATGGTTAATGAGAATGATAAAAAGCTACATGCTGAAGAACTAACTTCACACTGAACCACCTCTTATACAATCATAAGAGAAGACTGAGGTAAAGAAAAAAAAAATATGTGCAAAAAAATATATATCTTACAGGAATAACTGTATTTATCAAAAACTCTTTTCCTCAATTATAACAGCTTCCCAAGGGAGAAGGCACTCCTGCTCACTAAACACAAATGCACACACCTTATTTCCCAGATCTGGTTACATTGATTTACCCCCTTTACCTTGAATTATAGCACTGAAAACACATCCCCATTGCCAGTTTTACCACACAGCTACAGCAAGAAAAAAAATCCCCAACAAACAGGCTGCTGTAACAAAAGGCAGGTATTGGCTGCAAATATCTGGAATTTAAATATAGTCCAAGTGGAAAAGTAAGCATATCAGCATAAAATACAGTTTCAGGTCCAAGAAACATATAATGCTTTGTTTGCAGCATGTGAACAAGAGATTGGTGATGCACTTGTCCTCATGCCAGGATAAGATAAAGCACAGTAATTATAAACTTTAATTGTTTGGAAATAATCTAATCATCCCTAGTTTGCAAGTATAAAAGATCTTATCAATTAACAGCATGAGTTCACATCAAAAAGTTAAATCACCTTCAAACAGAGAAGATACTTTCCAATACAAACATTTAAGGCATCCAAGACCAGCCAGCAATCTGTACTGTTTGTAGAAAAGCACTGTTATGTGTCAGTGAACCACACTGGTTTAAACCAGAAGCTGCTACTAAATATTTTAACCTAATAGGCTGTATAATAAAGAAATGGAAGCCACATAAATTATTACTTCCATAAAAAGCAGAAGATACTCCACAGCATCATCAGCTCCCATTATTTTTTCCTGTATTAGAAGATCATGAGCTGCAAATGGCAAGATATAAACAAAGGAGAAAATGTAGCAAAAAACCCTGATTTATTTCCAAGAGGGATGGATGTAGAAGACAAACCCTTCCTTCAGTTGTACAAACCAAGCCCCGGACAGGTTCATCTGTAACTCTGAGAGGCCAAAGGAAGAAGCTGGTTATTTTACTCAAGTTTGGGGTTTCAATTTGAAAAGGATGCCAAAGAGACCTTGACTCATACCATTAGCTTTATCTCCCAAGCAAATGAATCTATCTTGCTTGAGGTCAAAATAAGAGATGACAAACAGGAAGAGGACAACGGGTCACTGTAAATTTTAGCAAAAGATCAAAAGACTGCAAGCTTACTTCCCAGAGTTCATAAATTTCTTTTCTGAGGTCCTCTGATAGAAGATGGGTCAGTTGTCGCATAGCTGCCTGAAAAAAAGAAGCCATTTCCATTCATCAATTTTTTGGGCAAGTATATTTTTATCCTTATCTTTAAGAATTAACTACTTATTACCAAGTTTGTAGAAACATACACTACACTGTATATTATTCTAAGGTGCACATGTAAATAAATCTGCCAGAGAAGCAGTAGGAACACTCAGTGAAGAATCTTTTCTGGGAGCTGCTTATGTAAATTGTTAAGAGAAGTAGTCTAAAACACAAGATAAACAACCTGAAAGTGCTTGACAGTATCTTCAAGAAACCAAAAAGAAGTCCAGAGCAAAACAGGCAAGTCAAATGCCAGGGAACTGAAGTCAATTACCAGCTCTGCCTTCCAAATTTAACTAGTGGAGGCAAAATTTGAACTTAATAGGTTATATGTGCAGTTCATAAAAGCAGCTTCAAAATACTAACTTACAGTGTAGACAAGCAACTGTGCCCTGCCAAACACTCAACTAGCACGTTTCCACTAACAGGGCTGAGAACAGGTACTGTCTGTCAGGCAGGCAACACAACATAAGCCTTTAAAAATGTTACAATTTTGAAAAACAGAGGAAAAAAAATCCATTTAATAGCCTGCAGCTATAAAACGCAGTGCTCCAAGACTGAGATACCATTTGTTCAACAACAAAAATCTTGGCACAAGGTTTAACGTGGTATCAAACTGATGGTGTAACCAGCAAGCAGAAAATGCTCAGCAGGCTCTTTGTGCTCTCAGCCGATCAGTCTCATTTCTGCGCTATTTCTACTGTTTTCCTAGTAACAGTAAGGGCTGCTTCTGAAACAATCAACATCACAGGCAAGACAAAGGTTTTGTGCCATGACTGTTTCTCCACTCAAATACAGGGTATAGTTTCACAATACGGCTGAACTGAATCTGCTGCTCCCCACCACTGAAACGTCAAGGTCTCATTCCTTCCCACCTTCTTCAAGCTCTGGAGCTCATCAGATTTCAAGGTTAGCAAGACAAAAATCACTTAATTGGCAAAAAAAAACCCCAACCAAATATCCCCACAGAAAAAACCCAAACTCGCTTGTTTTTTTTCTTTAAATCAAGTTCATTTTCTGCTGCCTTACCCTTGGTGAGACTAGCTGATTAAACTTACTGCACAAGCAGCAAACTTCAGAACCAGCTCAATGTCAGCTGTAGAGCAAAAGGAGAACTCTGCAGCGGAAGCAGCATATTGATAATTCAGCTCAAGCCACCTCATGAAACCATTACCCTTAGTGTATTTTTACAACAGTATTTCAGAGTCAGCCTAAACATTTAGGGCTTGACCTTCATTCCCAGAAAGTCAACAAAGTCCTCACTGAGTGAAACGGGAGCAGAAGGAGCTGCAAATACTTAAGAAAACTTCTTAAACGTACTTAGGCATTAAAATCTTTTTCATTGCCTGAACACAAATGATTAATTCCCTCTAGGCAACGTTGAAGCCTGATCCTCGGTGGCAAAACAACCTTTGGAGGCTTCCAGGAAAGAGGTTTTTTGTTTATTGTAATAACACACTATGAAATAAATTGAAAAAAAGAAATATCAAAATTGCAGTCAGTAAAGACTTCAGGAATACTGAATATCCCTTTGATCTTTAATTTCCACTTTCTTAGCAAAGAGCTTACTCCTAGAGTCACAGCCCCCTCAGCCCCTAGTTTTAGACAGATAAGCATAAATGGTAGTGGTGGGAAAATAATCACTGCAACGGGTTTTTTTACAGTCTTTGAAGAGCTATCTGTAGCCTCTGAATAGTTTTGAGGCATCACGTTGCCCTCTAGCTGTGGCTGGAGGAGTGGTTTACATTTTCTTCAAATAATGCAGCAAACTAGAAATGACAAACCAACAGTGTGAATACATACAAGGCCAAAAATAAAATAACGCTAGGCACGCTGCACTCAAAGGCTCATGACTCATGCACCCATGTCTGAAGTCCTGCACAAATGGTTTAAATTTAAATAAGTCTCTCTCAAAACCACACGATCCTCAGCACACAAATGGTCCGCCACCAACTGTCATCCACCCCTCTCAGTGCACCTACTCCCTTGCTCCCCACCTCTTGGTAAAGCTGGTCAAAATTACTAATTCAGGCTACCAAAAATCCACCTAGTTCAGGAATAAATGTCCAATGTCAAGAGTACTTCAAAGGTTCTCCTTCCTAACTTTGTACTTGGTGACATTACATGTACAAAAAATCATGAATTGAGAACTTTATCTGTGGCTTATTTGTCCAATGACAGTAGTATGTAGCTTAGAGTGTCTCTTCACTACCACCAGAACACTAAAAACACACAGAATGCTTCACAGATGTGGCTTCATGCCTTCTGTCCATACCTTTTCTTTCCTGTGTTTTTCCTCTTTTGATATATTATCTGCAGGAGCAATATCTCCAACAATGCATTCAGCCATATCGTGAACCAAAGCTAATCGTATGCATCTGACAAATATAAAAGACAATAATTAGTTTTTCAGCATTTTAACTCATGTCTTGTTATTCATAAAGCTAAGAGACTGCATAATTTATTCCCTTTGCATATTTTAAAGGGGTTTTTTTGGGTTTTTTTAAGTTTGCATAACATTTTTCACTTCTTTACTAAGGAGAGTAGTTTCTACCTAGACATGATTTTAATTTCTGATTTCTAATTCCTGCTGCTTGTAAGTGTAGATTCAGGTATAAATACAGGTTGTACAACTGCAAACTATTCAAAAATAATATATTTAGTTTTTGTATGCTTGACTCTCAGAGATTATGTGGTAACTACATTATGCAGTTCACGTTAATGCTGCAACAGGTAGAAGGTAATCTGGTGGGAGCCACCCCAAATTCAGCATATAACCTGACCCTCACAACTCTACCTATGTCAATTTGCAGCAGAACAGGTAAAAAAGCCTTCATCATTTTCATCAGCTCCTGAAGGGCCAAAACAAGCATGATCCCATACCAGACTTGACAACTCATTCAAGACTAATGATGCTTTCTCTTCTACACCATTTCTGAGGCTCCTTACCGCTGCTGAGTGCTGACTATCAAAACCCACATGATGTATGGCTTTGCCTTTGCTGTCTGTTGCTTCAAACTGAGTTTTAACAAAGTTTACGGCATGAGAGGAGGCCTGCACAGAGCCTCTGCATTAACAATTTGCCTCAGCACCTGGAATTTAGCAATGAAAGTCTTTAGCCCCTTCAAGCTCTCCAGGTGAAGAGCACCCTTGCTCAAAGAATGGAGGGGAAAGATGAGGGGGGAAGCATTTCAGACTCCTTCAGTGTGTTTTAAAAGCCTTCCTCGGGACGACAGCTATTTAAGCATCTCCCAGAACATTTAACTGATGGTCATGATAACCAGAGGCAGTCTCACCTGTCCTTGTTAAGGCTTTTGTCTTCGGTCACCAAAGCCATCACCGCCATCCTGTACATGTGATCGGATACACTCTCTGGCTTCGCCACATTCCTGTACACCCATCCCGTCCGTGGTACTCTCTGTGCGAGGACAGCGTCACAGAAACGTTAACACCTCAGGTTTTGAAGGCCCTCACTTCAGAGCTGCCAGCCGAGATTCTGTCCCACCGTGACCTCCACGCTCCGCTGAGTTCTGATGCTTCCGAGAAACACCTGCCCGAGGGGCCGGGCCCCCCGAGGCTGTGACGGGACACCTTTACACAGGCGCCTCTTCACACGCTCCCGCGTTCTCCCTGCCTGATCCCAGGCGCCCTCCTCAGCCTCATGGCGCTCACGGCGAAGCGCCAGGCCGCTCCTGCCCTCCCCCGGCCGACGCCCGCGTCTC